ATTTGTAATCTGGGTTTTCTATTTCACTCTAACCATCAGGAGAGCAGATCTTTTGACTTGGTGTAGGGCAATCACCATTAATGAATTCAAAAAGTTTCTGAGTCTCAATGAGAGAGAGCATTTGAGTTTCCCATAATAAATAATTGTTGAATCAACTTAATAGACACAAAGTTTCCCACATGAAGAGTGGAGGGATAGGGATACTTGGATACTGAGGATGAGATATCCATTTGAGCATAGGTGGAATTTGGAGATATATGGATGGTTTTTTTTTTTTTTTTTTTGAGAGAGAGAGATTGTGTGCTTGAACGGAAGAAGATGTGAGGGCATGATGACTTGTCGAAGAGGATGTGAGGGTTAAATGATTGAAGATAGTGAGAGGTCGTGAGATGGAGGACGGCTAGGGGATAACGCTTTGCAAAAGAGAGAGACATAGAAAGACTTAGCAAGAGGTTTGGAGGAGTCCATATGACTGTGGGAGGGTTGTTACTGTGGTATGAGGGCTGGTAATAATAATAACAAAAAGGATTAAAGATGGATATGGCGGTTGTTACTATGGTGTGAATTAATATGAGAGAGGAAGTCATATTAGTGAATAATAGATCTAATAGAACTTGGAGAATGTTTGTATGACCCAGATGGTTACTTTACTGCACGTTGTTTGAGCAATCAAATAGAGATTTAATAGCACTTGGAAGGGAAAAGAGATGCGAACTTGGGACAGAGAGAGGTACTTACTTGACAAAGATTCGAACTTAATATCGAAAGCTGAGGTTGGGATCAATGATGCTCTAATACCATGAAGAAAAACTTGAGAGAGAAAGGAACTTTTATGAAAAAAATAATTGTGCCCACACCCCTCTTGTGGTGGTTCTTTCATTGTATATATAATGGTAATACAATAGGGTAATATACACCTTCCTATTTTGTTACATGCAATATATGCCTTCCAATTTTGTCACATTCACCTCTCTAAGAAAAGAGCAATACACTTTCCTATTTTCTTTGAATTTTGTTCTATTAGCGATCACATTAAACTACCATTGCATCTTCACTTTGCCCACCTAGCTCTAATTCTAAGTACATCTTCCTCAATTTCTCTATTTTCTTGAATTATCGACCCAAGATCTAAAAACTGCACAATTTTTGGTATTTCTTGGCCGTCAATCTTAACTACTTCCTCATCTCTACTCCTATTATTATTAAATTTGCATTCTATACACTGTCTTAGTGCAGCTAATTTTAAAACCTTTAGATTCTAGAGCATCTCTTCGAAGTTCTAACTTTGTGTTAACACCACCTCGGGTCTCATCAGTCAAAAGTTCAAAACTATGTCGTCCGCGAACAACATACACCACAGTACATTATCTTCTAAGTGCCTAGTTAAGTCATCCATAATTAAGACAAAGAAGTGTGAGCTCAATGTTGACCTTTGATGTAAACCTATTGTCCTGAAAACTCGTTCATCTCTCCACTAGTTGTTTGCACACTAGTTAGCTCTCCCTCGTATATATCTCTTATTAAGTCAATAGGGTATTTAGAGACTCCTTTCTTTTCCGACACCCACCAAATTAACTCTCGAAGTATTTTATCATATGATTTCTCTAGATCAATAAAGACCATGGAGAGGTCTTTTCCCTTCGCCCTAAACTTTTCAATTAGTTGCTTAAGTAGGAAATAGCCACAATTGTTGACCGTCCTAGTGTAAAACTGAATTGGACCTCAAGACACTTTTAATTTTAGATATAATTCTGTATGATTGTTGATACAAGTTAATAAAATTTTAGATTTAATATCACAATGACTTGTATAATTATGTGAAAGTTTGTTACTCATCCTACCTTGTTGTAACTACAACTTTCATATTGACATAAGGTCCTAACTTTGTCTGAGTGATTAATGTGCTAATTATTATAATGAAAGTTATTATGTTCATGACAAACTCCATGGCCATATGCTTGTGTATGCGCACATGTACACACATGGTCACTATACACTAATCTGATGGGGTATGGTATAGCTTACTCTAAAGGGCACATCTTTTCATGTTGACAGGCGGAGTAATTGTAGTTGGATCCATTGGGACATTCACCTAGGTACAATTTATCTCTGTCCATTTGCATCTGGGCTAGATGATAGATTTCCCTTTATGAGAGAGTGTCTGAGTGAATTCTATCAATATATTATTGTGCTTTAAATTTTTTTGTCAATGTATGAGTAAATTTCTTATTATTTTTTATGGACTATCATCTTACTACTGGAACTATCTGGTCCCTTGGAAACAATTTCCTGTCCATAATTGATGGTATCTTTGGAATATGTATGAGATTAGGTACTGCAACTTTTTGTTGGGCATGGTAAGGCAGTTTGGAACTAGTGACTAAATCAAAGTATGAGCGCAAGATCTTGAAACTGAGAGAAGATGGCTTTCCGATTGGGCCATTAATGTGTATGCAAACTAAGAAGAGCATTAACAATTATTCCAACCAAAAAAGTGTATTAATTGTTGAAGGATATAAAACCGTACTGCTTTTCAATAAAATGTATAAAACTTGAACAGTTACGATATGTATAAAACTTGAACAGTTACGATCAAATTACTTCTGATTGCATGTAGCAATGAGAAAAATATTACTGATACGGATGCATTGATGCTGCATCTCGATGTTGGATTTGGTAATTCAGTTTGTCTTATTCTTTGATAATTATGGAATTATCTTCTAGAAAACTGTTAAGAAGCATAACGATATAAATGTGGAAATAAGATAAATATATGGAATGAGGTAGATAAGTTGGTGCTGTAGTTGAATTTTTTATTAATGTACTTAATTTGAGATTCTGAGTCCACTTTGTTCTATTCAGATTACCTGGGGTTCCTCTCATCAAGTATTCAATATTGATATCTAAGGATTGTCCTTTTATTTCGAGTTAAGGATTGTCCATTTCTTGACAATACATGTTCATGAATACTCAATGCTTACTGATAAGTGGCTGTGTGCATATGAATGTGTTGTGAGCATAACTTTGTTTGTTTCTTTTTCCCTGTTGGGAATATAGGGGTGGTATGTGAAACTTTACAATCTTACATGTAACTAGTTTGTCTGCGAAAGACATAGCTAGGTGATCCACTTTGATCCTGTTGTTGCATTCAGTCAGAATAAAGATTTTAGTAAATAATATGCTGCATTGCATTTGAAGTTACCTATTGCTTTTCACAGTACTTGCATCCGTTATAATCTAGTTTGATTCTGCTCAACATAGAAGATGTTGGCTAAAACTTTCCATCTCTTGAACGTTAAAGCAGTATATTGATATCAACATGAGCAGCATATGTGAAGGAACAAATATTGATGTCAAACTTATCGTTGTCTGGGGTGTCAAACAGGTCAGGTCAACCTGGCAATGAGTCTGGAGGTCTGGACCCTGTAAACCTAGCAATGGGTCTGGAGGTCTGGACCCTGTAAATGGACCCTGTGGGTCTGTTCTGGGTTCTGGACCCTGGACCTGTTTGCTTACTCGGTCGGGTCTGGATCTCAAGGGGCAGCTTGGTTTTATGCCCTCTTGTTATTGTAATGATATAAAATATTTACTTTTTGTATTTGCTTTAAAAAAGGAATTAGTAGCCCCTTAGGGCCATGTTATATGTTATATATTCTATACTGTATCTAACCTTGATCTTGTTGGACCACTATATATTTTTCAGAAAAGTGTCGCAAGAGAAGAGAGAGAGAAGTGCAACTTCTTCTATCCTAAACCGTTCTCCCTTTTTCTCTCGGTGGCAGATGATTTTCTTCCATGGAAATTCACCTGAAATTGCCAGAAACCAAGTGAAATTGCCAGGAAACTGCCTGATAGCATCATTAAACTCAGTTTTCATGAATTTCAGTTTTTTCCTTAGCTGTTTCAGCCCAGAAAAGACAGCTAAAGAAGATTTACCACCATGTTCGGAGTAGGAGCTCTTAGGAATTGTAGTTCGAAGGTTTATGGGAGAATTGCCTAGAACCACAGCCAACGTCAAGGCCATGCGCAATGGATCCAAGTGGTTTTTTAGAGTTTCCAGCTTGTTTCAATGGAATTCAGCTGTTTTTCCATTTTTCTGCTGTTTATTGGAGTTTTCTCTAATCTTGACAGCTTCATTGCAGAAGCCATTAAACCTTGGGCAATACTCGTCTCTCTCTCTCTCTCTCTCTCTCCCACCCTTCCCCCTCCCCCCCCCTCCCACCCCTCTTAACTTCCAAAAAGGTTGATGGATTTTGGATGGGGTTTAAACAGGACATTTCTGTATCATTCTGGTCCTGGTCCCAAGCTCAGGTACTTGGTTCAGTTGAACCAGCGCATTTATACCTTGACCATGATCCAAACTAAATCTTAGTCATAGACCTTCAAAAGCATTGGAGAAAATGTCACTAGTTATTTTTTCAATAAAAGTATAGTTTTTGTAGGGTTTACCTGGCTCTGAAGAACATAAATGTTCTATGAAGGCAAGCTAACTTAAATGAGTGAAAGTGTTTGAACTTCATTCCTATCATACGTTCTGGGCACACAATTGATATCAAGGTTCTGCAAAAATGTCTGGCTGATTTTTTCATTTGTTATGCATACGAAATGTTCCCCTTCTATCTGCGCCTAAGATTTGGCTGTTCAGAAGGACAATTTTAGTTGTCTTCAGGGGGAAATGTTAATATGGGAAATGCTTATTTCTATTTTGATATGTTTATTTCTACTTTGGGAAATTTATCAAATTACCTATGTGACATACATTATTTATCATTTTACACATTTGTAGCTATTCTAACTCATAATCATGTGTTTCTTGTTTGGGTATTTTAAAATTACATTAAATTACCTGGATGAAATGTTAAATAATTCATATCTTATAGGCATTTGATAGCTTTCCCTTCTGTTTTTCACTGAAGTGCTAGAAGGGTAAGCTCTTTTTCTTGACTGTTTTCAGCAATCATAGCTAATGGAATCCATTCCTATTTTTCAAAGCGCTGCAGATCATTTTGGCGAGGGAGTATTTGAAGGACGTGACCATCTCCAGAGAGCAATTGAAGTACATTGTTATGGAAGCTATTCGAGGTGGTTGTCAGGTTTGTTGGTGGAACTTTTTTCATAGTTCTTTAGTATTTATGTTGAGTACCTTGGAAGATTAAAAATATATTTAACTATAAAAAGATGGTTGAAAATATAGTTGTTATCCATTGAATCTAACCATATATGATATTGTGATGATGGGTGTTAATAAATTGGTTTATGATGGCTAGTTGAAGCATTGTCAGGAAATTCAGCAAGTTGACTTGTGACTTGGCTGGATTTACCTTTTCATAATGTTATGAATATGTTGATCTTTACAATCTCACGACACTGTCAATCAGAACGATTAATTTGTGGGTACTAGCTTTCCAAATTTTCCTTTCAATCTCATGAGTTATGCAGAGGAATATGTCAAGAAAACAGAACATGCATGTCCAAGGAAATGTACTTTTGTAAAACCAAAGCAATGGGCTAACAGGGAGAGGAGAGCTCCTATATCTTAACATATTATCTCTTTTCCCATGAATATGATCCAAAAAAACCCTCACATGAAATTTTCGCTGCATCTTCCTAGTGTTAAAACATGCTCGATCCCAATGAAGAACTAGATGAAGTTGTGTTTGGTTCACACATAAAACAAGTACATGAAATTTCCTTATAATCCCTAGCATCATCTCTCACCCAAGTGCAATGAATGACTTACTTCCCTGAAAGCACCTTCATATGGTACTCAAAGGCAATTTGAAAGTAGACATAATACTGGTGCTTCAAAACTTGGTAATTGGGGCTCAAACTTGCTCAAGTCACGGGGACATGGCGTGGTGCTGGGTCCTGATCTGAAACTCTGATACTCTCCCGAGTCTGAATGGATCATGGACCCTTCTGTATTTTTTTCAAAGGGACTTAGTCAGGTTAGCAATCTGACTCAGGCACAGGACCCTGGGAGTGCCAACCCGAGTCTCAGTTTTAAATTACTGGATATACATATGCAATTGGATGTCGATGTAACAATGAACAAAACAATGCTAGGCTCCTATGAATTTTTATGAAATAGGTGTCTTTTCCAAAAAAAAAAGAATTTATTTCGAGCGCATGCTTGCACTTAATACTAATGCTATGACCATGACCAGATTGGTTTAAACTAGTGAAGTTTTTGAGTTTGACCTTGATCATGTCAAACTAGTTTACGACTATCCATGCCAGTGTTGGAAAAAACGGCCGGTTCAAACCAGAACCAGCTGGTTGGAACAGAACCGGTACCTTCCCCATTCCCGTTATCCTTGGTTTTGGGGTCCTAATAGCTACATATAACACCCTAAAAAATTTTCGGCCCAAAACCGGCTGGAATCTACATGAACTCGCTGTTTTTCAAGCTAACCGAGCGGTTTATTACATAACCGAACCAGTTTTTTTTAAAAAACGCCCAAATAACGTTAAAATGTTTAAATAATGCCAGTTATTTAACGGTCGCCGTTATTTATATCAGTGACGGTCGCCTGTTAAATAATGCCTGTTATTATGCAGAAACCTTGAGATTTTGTTGGATTCTTTTTTTATTTGAATTTTTTTACTGTTTTAGCCTTTTTCTGGATTATTCCATCAATTATTGACTGAAATTATTGATATAATAGTATAAAATGGAGGATTTTAACCGGAAACACACCGAAATTTGATGTTTTTGGGCTGTTATTTTCGTGCTCTTCGCGTTTTCAAAAAAATACGCCATGGTGCATATTGTGACCTCGTTTTTGGATTTTTATCAATAAAAACATATGGCTTTTGTTGATAATACAGTTAATCAGTATGTTCTATTGCCAATTTCATTTAAAATCAGAGATTTGGACCTTGATTTGGAGTGATTACGGCATCTACTCAGTTTTTCAAAATTGATTTCAAAAAATCTGTCATACTGCAGATTGTGGCTTCGTTTTTGGATTTCTATCAACCAAATCCATAGCTTTTGTAGATAATAGAGTTAGTCAGTGGATTCTACTCCTAATTTCATTGAAAATCCGAGATTTGGGGCTCGATTTGGAGTGATTAGGGCAGCAACTCAGTTTTTTAGAACAGATGAAAAAATCCACCATTCTCTAGATTGTTGATTCATTTTTGGTTTTTTATCAATCAAAATCTGGGGCTTTTGTAAATAATGGAGTTAATCAAAGATTCAAGTCCTAATTTCATTGAAAAACCAAGATATGGTGCTTGATTTTGAAAGATTAGGGCCTTGACTCAATTTTTCTGAACTGAGCTGAAAAACATTCAACAACTGCTCGATTTTGTACTTGATTTGCTGACCGAATTTTACAGATGAGATCACATGTATGAATTTCATGTGAATTTTCCTTCAGTATTTTTTTTTAATATGAACTTTGAGTTGTTCGACTACTTGTTTACCACTTTATTTTGCTAAAAAAAGAATTATGTAAAAAAGTATTTTTTAAAATTTGAAATAACACACTCAAAATGCATTGTTTGTATACGTGATATGTTAATTAATTTGGTTATTCTCAGAGATTTATTCTTGGAGAGTAATTTTTTGTTTCATTGCGAGCTATTCTTGGAGGTATAAGTGTATTAGTTTTAATCATTTTGATCAGCCTATTTGGTTGATGGTTTTATGTAATCTCAAGTTGTTTGTATGGGTTTTAATTTATTTTAAAGAATTATAGTTTATATTGGTTTCAATGGATCTCAACAACTTAAATACCAGTGCTTTTTAGAAACTAAATACGAGATTAATTTTTTTAGAAACCAGTGTTATATGGATTTTTTTTTCTTTATTTCTTCTTTTATTGATATGCTGGTTGTTTGGGTTTCATAACTTGTGGGAAGGTTTTTTTGGTTAAAAATTTAAAATCATTTAGGTTTAACTTATTGTTGGTGGATGATTATAAGATTACTGTGTATCAAAAATGTTCTGTTTTGGTTTGGTTTTAGGAGATATTTGAGAGCAGCTTACTTGCAGATTTTCAACAACTTAGGAGCTTGATTGCAGAATTTAAATAAGAAGTTGTTTCATTTTTAAAAAAATAAATATAGGTAATAAAATAATATACACTTAATCTTTGTTTTGTATTTTTATTTTATTTTTTTGGGGGGCCCACTATTAAGAAAGAAAAATTCTACCGGACCAAACTAGTCCAGTTAACCACCCGGTTAGCCCAATTCCGGTTCTAACCACTCCCAGCCCATGTCCGGTTAACCATTCTGGTTCGATTTTGCGAACACTGGTACATGCTACCTCGGCACTTTGTTTTACTTGCCTTTTTGGAACTTGTTGATTCCAATTATACTTTTAAATATTATTATTAGTATCTTTTTTATAAACATTTTAAAGTTTGTTATATCATATTATCTTGTTGTAACAATACCTTATATATAGCTATCTCAAAAAAGTCACCTTTATATTTGAATGAAGTGTAACTTTTCAAAAGATAATTATTGATCATGGTAAACATTGTGTATATACATTTATGAAAATTTATTGCATATGAATAAGCTAACTGCATCTGTGGTAGTGTTTTGAAATCTTTCTCCTTGGAAATCATAGTTTAAAAGGTTGTATATTCTGCTCTCTAAACATAGATGTCAGTTGAACCAAGAATGTTGTGTCCGAAAGTCCAGCAGCATATTGAATATTCCAAGAAAAATCATGTTATCTGATGGTTTACAGTTTTTTTTTTTTTCCCTCGACAGGGACACAGAGCTGAGCTATATGGCGCTCGAGTTGCAAAATGCTTGGCTGCTATAGATGGACGTGAAAAAGTCAACATTGATGATCTCAAAAAGGCTGTTGAGTATCTTTCACAGACCCCGCTTGCAATATATCAAAATGTTGAAATGCTCATTGGCTGTCTCAATAGTTGAATGTTCACTAACATATGAAGGTGTAATACCTTTAATATCAAGTTATTTATGTACTGAATTAGCCATTTGTATTTGATGAATGAGTATGTGAATTGTGTAATGTTCCATATATGAACCCTATTCTATTGTATTGTAGTGGTGCCTTCTATGATTTTCTGATATTGAGGACAAGGAGTTCAGTGGCATTGACGTAACATATATATGAGATTGTTGTAGATGGATGGATGCATAATTTATGTGTCATACTGTCATCTATCGACCTTAAATGGCTGACTTTAATCGATTTAATGGCTGACATGATGTTACTGTTCCACATATGTATGTCTGTATTTCATGTATGTATAGATGTTATGCATATATGTGAACTTTTTCATTTTTTTTGAGTAACTAATATTGATATGCTTGTTAATTGACAATAGTGGTTAAATGTTCTGCAAAAATTTAATTGGATTCTAATGAAAGAAGGGTACGGTTTTGTATAGAGCCTAGGCTCTAAACAATCAAAATAAAGCGCACCTTCAAATAGTACCGAGAAATGTGGTTTCAATACTGGAAATCTTTGTGATAGCCTTAAAATATATTTTCATCTTCAATTATAAAATTTAAAGTTTCAAAAGTAGTGTAGATTGAGCACGTCTATGAAAATCTTGAAAATTGACGGTCCAAAAATGCATTACAAGATGTACTATTTCCGAAACTTAAAATCCATTTTTTTCTTATGTCCATGCATATTGATATCGAGATGATCAATTTGAGGATATTTGGACATCAAAACAACCTCTTCTGGTGAAACTTTTGAGGTGGGCTATAATGTGATTGTTTAGAGCCTCAGTTCTATATAAATTTTCCCATGAAAGAGTAGTATTTGCAATCATTACTCAGGTTCGGGATTTGTTGACACATGTTGTCATTGACTAGTGGCTAACAAGAATAAATTAAGCACATTTGTAGGGGATTCACTAGTGCACATTGTAAATCTGATAACCATGAAAAAAAAACTGCAGTTATTCTGAGTGTTATTAAAAAACCATGCCAAGGAATACTAGAATTTAGTTTTGGCAGGTATATCAAATGTCGAATAGCTTTTCTGAAAGTCATTGAGTTTTAGAATAAATTTAGAACCTTTGGTGCCTGGAACGCATGCTCTTGATTCTTTCCCCAAACGTTTGTTTCTTTTCTGGGCCTCACAACCAAAGAATACGCAAGTTGGGAGTAGATATTTATGAATCTTTAGTGTGGAGGGTACTTTGAGTTGGTCATGCTGAGGAAACTCCTTACCTCCGTCAGTGACTTGGGGATTGGCCATTCTAGGACATACTTCGTCTTCTCAGGTCTTGACTCCTCCTGAACCGATGATGTGTCATGTGCCAAAAGTGTACCAGCTCCTCCTCCTGAACACATATTTGTCTAAAATCATTCTCACAACGAGGCCAAAAACAAATATTTGATACCAATGAACCAGTTTTGCCACTGAAAGAACCTTCATCGCGGTAAGTTCATAGTTTATTTGAATTTTATATGTTTGAATGGTCTATTTTGAATTATAAACTCAAACAAATTTCATTCACCATAGAAGAAACAAGGGCACCTAACCCTTTTAACAGTATCCAGTGGCAGCGTTATCAATGGATTTAATGAATCATTTTACTTTGGAACTCCAATTGTTTTCTGTTATAATCAAATCTCACTCACTGTTTCAAATTAGTTACCATGTTCTTCGACATAACCCAAATACTTGGTGTATTCCTGAGCATCAACTACCTTGTTATGGAGCTTTGTCATGTTTTTTTTTTTCACAATATACGGTCTCTTTGCTTGAGATCTAGAGTGTCATGATGTTGCCTGTTGCTGTGAGTTCAGTAGATTTAGGAAAGTGAGGGAAGTTGAGGTGGAAGGAACTGGCAGTGAGGTGGTTAACAGATTAAGACATTATGAGGGATTTATCTAGTTTGGGTGCCTCATGTTTAGGTAGCTGACCCCTGGTTGGGATTACCTTACAAAAAAGAAACATCTATTGTTAAACTGAATGTCCATTAAAGAGTGCAGTAGTCTTGTGATTGTTGGACGCATGTAGCATGAAGGATTGCTTCATTTTATTTTATTTTAATGTGTTGGTGAGTCCAGAAGGATTGCTTCTTTTTTATGAAGTCCAAAAACATTCTAGCATTAAAATTTAGTTGATCCAATGAAATTGCACCAGACCCTACTTTTTTTTGGTGCTGGGAGACTGTACTAACCCCAATTTTTGGTTCTGCATACTTGATGTTAGAAGCACCCAACCTTTGGGTTGCCCTGCACCTAAGACATGTAACTTGTACTACTAATACAAGTCACCAGCTTCTCGAAAAAATTTGGTTGATCCAACTTTCCAGAATGTGGTCAATAAATTCCCACTTACAATCTGCACAAATGAGAATCAACCTGCTGCGAAGGAGAGGCAAGCATTTATCATAGAGGTTACCTTTTTTCTTGAAATTTTCCAATTACATTGATCTATTAGACTTTTGTTGGCCCTACCCACATAACAGAAGTCCATGATATTTTCCTTGGATGATCCGTACCTTGCAACCCAAAACTGCCTACGGCACCAATAGGGACCAAGGGCTCCAACTCCCATTGCATAGCTCTTGCCGAAGTTATACTTTGACCCAAAACAATCTTCAAGTATCATAGAAGCATCCTCAGACTCTCAATTTGGCATCTATGAGAGAATTTTTGACATTATCTGCTGATGAGATGGCTTCTTCATTAACTTGCAGATGTGACCTGCATTTGGGGATTACGGGGCAAGTTGTTTCCTAAAGCATGGAAAAACCTACCACTTTTCCCAGGCACCAAATTTCTGTAACCCTTATGTCACGTGTCATGACAATACCCTCAAGATTCCTGTCAAGCTTTCTGCAGGCTTTAAGCTCCACTTTCTCTTACTTGTGAGTTCACCATTGATAAGCCTGCAATTGGGAAGTCCATAGAAATCCTAGATTTGATTGCTGTAGAGAATATTCATCTTGTGAGCATGTTCTTGCTGCTTTCATTTGGGAAATGGAGGTGATGCTGCTGTGAGGGAGTGAGAGGAAAGGAAGGGAATTGTCTTTAAGCTTTTCTGCTGAAGCTACTAGGTTTAAGCTTTGCCCCACAAAAGAGTGTAATACCATGGGATACTTCAATACCGCAAAGAAAAGATAGAGAGAATAATATCACAAGTCAATTCAACAATCATTTAGTCTTAATGTGATGTCACTTGTTACTGTAATGCTCTTATGCCTCATAGAAAGAGCCATCACTTAGTCTTAACATGGTGTTACTTGTTACTGTAATGCTCTTATGCCACACAGAAAAGACATGGATTTCCTAGAAAGATTTTGAAGTAATAAAGAAAATCGTAATGGTACAAACTTATGGGCACAACATTAATTTAGAATCAAGTTCCTGTTCCATTGCCATGGCATTCATGTGCCTCCGATTTATTTGCTATGATATATTATACTTTCTTTTGGTCATGCTAATATGTGTAGAAAAATTGGACCCGGGAAATCAATTCATTCGTAGGTATGAGTAATTCTCTTACATGTGTTTCAAGGCAGTAAAGCTTTAAATATCTTGTTCAGGTAGAGTTAGTTATAATACCTCGTTCAATTATCAACGAAAACCCCCAACAACAGCCGAATGAGCCACCTCCCCCTCCACCACCTCCTCCACAAAACCAGGACAATGCAGAGGAGGACCAAAGCGAAGAAGAAGATCAGGAGGTGTGCCATTCTTTTCAAGACTTTAATCTTGGTTATTTTATTTTAATGAATCCTCTTGTTTCTTGTTTTCGTCATTATTTTACCTTGCTGTCTTCCAACACGGGCCTTCAGCTAAAGGTGTGAATAATATCTTCTTGAACAGGATGATGATAACCAGGAGAATGAACAGCAGGAGGAGCAAATACCGGAGGAATTTATATTTGATGCTGACGGTGGTATGGTAGACCCAAAACTTCTCTTCTTTGCTCAACAAGCACAGAGACGGCGCGGAAAAGCTGGTCGAGCCAAGAATGTTATATTTTCAGAAGATAGGGGACGTTATATAAAACCTATGCTTCCAAAGGTTTGCTTCCATATATCAATCTGCTCTTTTAGCTTTTCATGACCTTAGGTTGAAATGTTACATATTTGTGTTCTTCAGACTATTAAAGCTTTAATAGTTTGGGAAACAGGGGTATTGCTTGACGGAACTGCTTGTGACTCAATTAATGGAATTTCTTGTGAATCAATTGACAGTATATTATAATTTATTGGATTGCGGAAAGACCTATAGTCTAGTGGGCCATCACCTGTCCATTTTGAAATGGTGGACAGTGATGGAGAGGGGCCATTGGGATCCTTTCAGCTCAGTGGTTCCATCTCTGTTCATCATTTCGAAGGATGGTCATGACCCAATGGACTATGTGTTATTTTATTTACTTTCCCCAATGAGGTATGAACTCTGGTGCTGTGGAGAAAATTTGGGCTTTCCATTTTGTGGATAAGAAGGAAATGGGAAAAGAAAGACTTTTGGAACATGTGCACTTTGAGACTTGTAAATTTTTTCACTGCTATATTTCTCCAGTTCTTGTATATTTTAATATTGCCAATCTCAAGCAGGGCCCTGTTAAGAGACTGGCAGTGGATGCCACACTTAGGGCTGCTGCTCCATATCAAAAATTGCGGAGGCAGAAGGCCCTTGAAAAGAACGAGAATAAGAGAGTTTTTGTTGAGAAGACAGATATGAGAGCTAAAAGAATGGCTCGAAAAGCTGGAGCCTTGGTAATGTTCAGAAGCTTCGACCATAGCTCTGTACTGTATTCTTTTTTTTATTTCTGCATTCGCTTTTGGTTCATTTGTTTTGTATGGATTTCCACTGTCACTATATATAATTTTCTAAGTATGCTGGCTTCAAATGTATCTCGGGAATTTTCTTGTTATCAGTGTCTGAAAACTTCGCAAGTTGACCCAGACTCATCCCAGTTCACTCACATTGGACCCTGATGAGTCTCTTGGATTTTCCTCAGACTCACCCAAGTCTAGCCATTTTCAGAATTTTTCAGGCATAGACACGGTGAGTCTTGGTGACCTCGCTGAGTCAATTTGCCTAACTCACACTTGGGACCCTAGTGAGTCTCAAACCGAATCCAGGTTTTAAAACACTGCTTGGTATGACAGCAAGATGAGTTTTTTGGAGTGCTTTAGCTCTCTCTAAACCTGCTATGGTCCTAGGTGACACACTCATTTGTAACTTGGGAGTGTTGGCAGGTTATATTTGTGGTTGATGCTAGTGGGAGCATGGCCTTAAATCGGATGCAAAATGCAAAGGGTGCAGCCCTTCAATTACTCGCCGAGAGTTATACCAGCAGAGACCAGGTAAGGACCAAATTAGTTGCTTAAATTTATGTGGATTCTTTAAAAATATGGATTTATGCTTGTTCAAATGGCATGCGTCATGGGTTTGAGGCAATCTAGTGCTTCGAAGCTTTTTAGCAGAACCGTATGGCTTTCATGATATTATTGATATACCATGCGCAAAGAAGTGTAGGATGCCCTTGAGACTATGCAAAAACTTTAGTTCATTGGATCATCACCGTCTATTAAAGTGATGGATGATGATGAGAAAGAGGGTGGACCGACTACCATCGGGACCATGTCTTGTTCTGGTGTTTTGGTGTTCCACTCGCTTTCCATTGTCCTCAAGATAATTGAATCTGTTTTCCAGTTTGCCACTCTCTCAGTGTGGAATCTGTTCCCATGCTTGGGTAGTATGAACTGCTTATATTTAATTCCTAGTGATCGATTGTTTCTCAACAGGTGGCCATCATTCCTTTCCGTGGTGATGCTGCAGAGGTTCTCCTTCCTCCTTCGAGGTCTATTGCAATGGCAAGAAAGCGTCTCGAAAGGTTACCATGTGGAGGTGGTTCTCCATTGGCTCATGGTCTCAGCACGGTATCTGATGTTATTTTTCATTATTTCCTAGAATCTCTGTTTATAGAAGGTGAAATCATACTATAATCTAATTGACAATGATATGCATGAATTATAATTCAATGACCCATGACTACCCATGAAATGGACTTTGATGGAGAGAGAGTGGTACCTGCCATTGGGAACATATTTCCAGTCTCTCACCATCACAATCCATCATCGCCTTTGAAGGTGACAACCTAGTGGACTAGAATTATTTCTCTATGGAGAGTACATGGGGCTCTTTTTCTATGCTTGGTTATTGGTGTGAATTTCATTTGTGCAAATCCATCTAGGCTGTAAGAGTTGGGCTCAATGCTGAGAAGAGTGGTGATGTGGGGCGCATCATGATCGTTGCCATCACTGATGGGAGGGCAAACATTTCTCTGAAAAGATCGACGGACCCTGATGCTAGTACTGATTCAGAGGCTCCTAGACCGTCTTCACAAGAACTCAAGGTAATATTAGCCACCCTTTTGACTCCATTGTTGAGGTATCTTCTAAATCTTAGGTTTTCATAGTTATGGTTGGGGAAAATATACCATACTCAACTGGTTTATGGTATATAGAACACTAGGGATATCTACTGTATGTTCCAGAGGGCAGATGGTGGAGAGTAGCTCAAGTTCCTGGTGACTCATATATACCTGGATGTGGTCAGTCTTCACCATCTGTTGTCAGGGATGAATGGTGGATGCCCCAATGTCGTACCCATATACCATACGTAGTGCTTTGTGGTATACCTTCCCTTGTGGAACTGTTATTACTATAGATTCCTTAATTGTTGATCAGTTAGCGACTCTCATCAATTAATGGATATGTCAAATTTTCGATACTTGGTTGAAACAATTGCGGAAATTGGCTATAATCCTTTTCCAAACAAGATGTGATCTGAAACACTAACTGTAGTATGATGGAATTGAACTCCAGATTATGAATGAAGAGAGCAATTGGTAAAAGCGATGTTTGTCAATTTCTAAGGAATCTTTAAAAAGTTGTAAAAACTTCTTCAATTGATTTGGGGGTTCCTCATTTGTCTACCAGGATGAGATTCTGGATGTAGCTGGGAAAATTTTCAAAGCAGGGATGTCTCTTCTAGTTATAGACACAGAAAACAAATTTGTCTCGACCGGATTTGCCAAGGAGATTGCTAGAGTCGCACAAGGTGTGCATCTCTTTATCCATGATATTAGTTCACAATTAAAGAAAATTTGCCTCGTGACAATTTTATGGTGTCAAATTTTGCATTTGCAGGGAAATACTATTACTTGCCAAATGCCTCGGATGCTGTCATCTCTGCCACAACAAAGGAAGCATTATCAGCCTTGAAAAGCTCTTGACTTGGCTAATACCAATGCAGCTCCTCCCCACGACAGGGTTTCCCGTTGTGATGCATTTGCATCGCATGTGATGTATTTATATCTTTTGTCTTTGGTAACTGTAGTGAGTTCGCCTTTTAGTTGGAAATGGCGGCTGTTGAGAAAGTGGTTTGTCACCAATTATCAATCGGTATGCAATAAAAATTCCCTTTGATTTCTTAGAGTATCTGTGATATTTTCCATTACTCGATTTGCTGTTGTTTGTGTATACGTGCAAAATTAAAGCATCTTTGAAGCAAGACAAAATCTAAATTATTCAAAAAGCATTTACTTTTTGGAATAAAACATTCTAAAAGAAAAAGTATGTCTTTTTTCATGTTTGCAGGAGTTAGTAGTTCATGTTATGGAACTCTATTTTCCATTGTGTGAGGCTGGAAAATTATATCTTTTATGTTCTTGCTAAAGAGTGTGATCTTGTGGCATGGGAAAGAGTAACATACACCAGTAATATATGGTGTATTGGACACCAGCATCCATATCCAAGGACCGCAGGTGTGATGGAGATTTGTGTATATCTGGCTGAGTTCTTTTTATCAAGAATCACAGCTAATCTACATCGTTCCCCATTGGTATCAGATGGTGGATGTTCAGATCGTGTGCCCATACCATATTTCATTGATAATGTGTATGGTTCCCATCCTGCCCTCAACCATTGCCATACGCCAGCTCCATTCATGCACTTCCTTCTCAATAAAAAGCACACTCAACTCATACACCCCATTTTTCCCACCAATTACTGTGTTTGACTTCAAATTCGAAGTTCTCAAGTTACATTTGATTTTGCATATGGAAGACTAATTTCGCATAAAATGGCTGATACTTTGGATCTTTGGGATCTAAAGTAATGGTAATTTGAGAATAAAACAAATGGAAAATCTCTACATACCCCATATTTTTAAAATTTATATCTCAATAGAAGGTTTCAAAACGTATTTTGGGTCACGAAAATTTTAAGTTTTATATCTCTTAATCCCTTAAGCTAATTTTACCCCTTTTAAACCTATTTTTTGGCTTCAAACAAATTTAAGAAAGATATATTTTTTTTAAACCATCATTTCTCTCTTTTCACGTGATTTCTCTTAAATTTCTCTCTACTTATTTTTCCACCCTCCTCCCTAGCTTGGGTTTTTATTGGCTTTTTTGTGGAATAAAAAGTTTCAAGTTTTTAAACATCTCAATTGAAGTAAGATAACGACAAGCTTTCTATGTTTCCCGTACAACATAAAACTTATATACTTCCCATTATCCAACCATCCATTTTGAATGGAGTGATAAGATTGTCCCAATCACAATGTCATGTCTTTACACTATTTTATTTTAATTTTTTTCTATAAACTATCTTGCCACCAAATTTTGTACGTCCAATCTTCTACTAAACTCGCACTAGCGAAAAATATAAATATTTTGAATAAAATAAAAGGATCAAAATATTCGTAAAAGTTTTAAGAAGGTATTTTGGTCATTATATTTTGTCGAAAAATTATTTTTAATATTTTTTATAGGTGCGCCTCAATGAGAAGATGGCACGTACCAAATTTCATATTCATATAGTTTGTATAAAAAAATCTAAAAAGAAAATACCTTTGAGACATTGGATCTAAGATCAAACGGTGAGTGGCTCTTTTGATCAAAATTGGACGGTTGGATGGTAGGGGAAGCATAGATTTTCTATGTTGTAGGGGAACTATAGAACCTTACCGGTAAGATAATGTTGGCTAATAAGAAAATTTTATACTCATTATTTAAATGTATATTTAAACAAATTTTGAAAATTACTTTTTTATTAGGAAATGTAAGGAGAGATCCCTACTGAGCTTTAAGGTGGGTGATGGACCAACGCGGACTCCATAGCTTTTACTCGAGATCCTGCAAAGGATTAGAAGATTCTAAATTTGGAACTTTTTTTTTAACTTGAAGCAGTTTTGTCTGAGGAGACTGTTTTGGAGTGGATTATCAAAGCGATTTCGAGTTTGAAAGAAAGCTCCAGATCCCTTATATCCACTACCCATTTCTAATGGATGGCCTAGATTTGAGGTGAGCTATGGCCGCGTGCCCGACTGAGAGATTGAACAGGGGTGGTGCCCCCCTCTTTTAGAAAGAGGTGAAATAAGAGGCACCCCTTTTACTTAGCAGAATGCACAGCTCGGCGCAACTCGCTTTAGCACAAGCCGAGGCCGATTAAGTTGGCCGAGTCTCAAAACACTTTTTGAAAGGGAATACTCAGCCGAGTCTTGAAACACTAATTAAAATGTAGTCCAGAGTCATTCTTGAAGTTCAAAATATTTGTTTCTTTGCCCATCAAATATATGCAAAATAAATCTAGAGAGTTATTTCCATCTAACTTTTCAAGAGAAAAGCCAAAAATGAAGTTTATACAAGGTTTACATACCACCTTTCCAAGGCCAGGTACTTTGGCTGAGTCAATGTTTGGAACCTTGGACACAAAAAAAGGCATAAGCAGGCACTAAGACATGCGCGAAATGCTGGGACCGATACACTTAAATCTATCGTCCCCTGTTTATGGATTGCTGATGCCCTTCAGATGGCAAGCACAGCTGATCCTGATAGTGAATGGTTCTATTTTTTGAAAATATGGTCGTGAATTACTGGAATTGTATAATAATATCATGCATCCAGTAGCTGTTCAGTGATCCATTGCTGCTTATCAAAACATAGATTATGTGAGGAAGTATCTAATTCTTTGATGAATTACATCGGTATAAAGATACAAATGATATTGTCCCTCCTTTTTTATTTTACATAGCCCTAATACGAATGCTCAAAAATTCATATTCATCCAACAAACACATCTTCCAAGTCCATGACAGGGCCAGGGACTAACAAGGTTCATGAGCATATTGATTTGTTAACCGAAACGAGTGACCATATTGATTCTAATAGAGCCTACCTTCAGATAGTGTCGAGAAATGTCGCTTCAATGCTGGAAATCTTTGTGATAGCTTTAAAATATATTTTCGCCTTTATTTATAAAGTTTAAAGCATAAAAAATAGTGTAGATCGACAAATCTATGAGAACTTGAAAATCTTGACAATTGACGGTCCAAAAATGTGTTACAAACTATACTATTTTTAAAACTTGAAATCTACTTTTTTCTCATGTCTATGCATCTTGACGTCGAGATGATCAATTTGAGGATAAACATCAAATAACCTCTTCTAGTGAAATTTTTGAGATAGGCTCTAATTTGATTGTTTAGAGCATAAACTTTTCCCTATATATATATAGAAAAGCTGACGTTAGTCCACTAGCTTATTACTACATATGAGTCTGATGGTCTACATTGAATTTGAGACGATTTGACGGTTATGATCTCATTTTGTATTTGAATTTTAATGGTTTTTTTTTACAAATCCAAATTATATGAAATTTTAGGCATCTATTATTCTCATCAATGCGCACTTAATAAGATAAAAATACTCCTAAAACTGTTTAAGGGTATTTTGATCAATTTATTTTTTGCACTTTTTTTTTTGATATTTTTATTGGATTCCACTATTTTTAAAACACATCCAAAATTTCAAGTTATTTGGATTTGTAAATACAAATAAAAATTCAAATACGAAATGAGATCATGACCGTTAGATCGACCCAGATTATTGAGCTCATATGTAGCTCTGAGCTAGTGGACTAACCTTAGCTTTTCTTATATATATATATATATATATATATATATAC